ATCAATACTTCGATATCAATTCTGACGGGGAAAGAAGACTATCACAATGAAGTAAATATGTTTAAAAGTGTAAGCGGCAAATTGGCATTCCAATGAGATAACTGGGATTTCACATTGCAGAAAATTCTGGAAGATAAATGTTTTAATCCCGCAGTTTCAGCAGATGACTTAGATACATCAGAAGAATTTAAAGACACCCGAATAACCAAATGTCAGATGTTTATAATCACTGTTCATCACTATTCATTTTCAGGAAAAAATGTCTTTTTGCATGCTACTCATTACTGAGGCTTTTACAGATTCTACAACTATTGTCAGCAGTAAAACCATTAAACGATAGTAGTTCGACTCTCACTTGATTTTTATTTGTATGTATTGATTTACTAATTGTCTATACCTCGCATTTTTACCATAATCAGTTTTCTGCCACTAAGCCAGTTAATTACTAATTCCGCTTCATCTGCATCAGCAGCTGTTATAGCATAGAAGTAAGTGTGTAGATATTCAAGTATGTCACCAACGATTGTTATATAACTATACTTCGTAAATGAATAATTAAGTATTCTTGATGTTTTAAAATATTTTCTGTGTTAATTTCTCTTTTGGAAGCAGATATGTGAACTTGATTTCTTAACGAAGCAAAAAAGTAAAGTTGCGAAATTTCATCGATTACAACAGCAAAGAAAAGGCGCGAGCCAAGAGATAATTATTTCTCCTTCACTTGCAATCCATAATTACTTTTTTATTGATCTTAAATGACTTTCTGAGCAATTAAGAACGGCACGTTCTCTCAATGGTTTTTCCAAATGGAAAATAAAAGCCGAAAACACGCAATTTTTCGATTAACCTTCACTGTTAGTTACTGAACTAGAAGTATTTATGAAGTTATTTCTCTCGTGAATTTAATCTTTAAAAGAAAAAAATAGTAAAGAAATCTTGATATGTGCCAATTCCTTGCATCAAAAAATAACTTTCTGAAGATCTGGATTTATCTGAATTTTTTAACCAATGTGTAAATTAGATGTGTAATGATTATCTGTGACTCACATTTAAAAATTATCTTGATTCATATAAATAAGCTCTGCATAAATATAATTTAAAATTTTCAGCAAATTATTGTTACAAATCAATTCTAAACATGACTGCCTTTATATAAATTTATCATATGTTTTCGATTTTGAAATGCCATCGATTATAAAACTGCAATTTTAATTTCAAATGCACCACAGAGAAAAGTACTTTGGAAATAAATGTGTGAAGTCAACTTTAATAAGTGGATAACAAAAGCTTATCTACAATTTATTTTAACAATAATATTTCGATTTAATTTAACGACTTGCTCTGAAAAATTTTAAGGATTTTTAATCTCTTCAGCGCCGAATTTTTTAATTGTCAAAAATTAAAACAATTCTTTTTGGGGGGTTCAGTTAGTTTTATTCATTTTATATCAACAGCACATCAATGTGCGAGAGTAAATAGGTAAAAAACAATAAACATATACAAAATGTAGTGTCCACATATGTCGCCACTGAAAGTTAATGGCAAATTATTGAGTGGAAATGCTTCACATATTCAATGTATATCGATTCTTTACATTTTTTGAAACTGTAGAAGTTCGTCTTAAGCAATTTTTTTCATGACATTTTGGAGAATTTGAAGCTAAACCTTTTTTAAGATAGTAATCTACTACACAATATAACCTAGAGGACAAAGCAGTGATCATTCAGTAGAATAAAATATTATCAGCATTGTCTTACGACAAGAGTTTTGTTTTATTACTGAGCCATACTTTATGGGAATAGTTCTCCAACAGATTTTAATTTATTTCACTTTGAATAATTTTAATTAAAAGAAACTAAATTTTTCTAACTATTGGGATCATAATTCTTTCTTTTTGGTAGTATCTACACTTATATTATTGTATTTTTAAGTCCATTCTTTTTAAGAACAGGTGTTTGTAAGCATCGAATGGCGCAAAAATTATTATATTATATCTAAATACATATGACAACAAATTAGGGTCGCCGCGTGGGTATTAGGCGCCCCTGTTCAAATTGAAATTTGGCACCCCTTTATGGAGTTCTGTTGCACACTTATAAAGTGCTGCAGATTATATGTGAAATACTCTTTTGTAATATTCAAAATTTGACTTGAAATTGAAAAGGTTGAAAAGCTTAAAAATTATAATATTAATACACGTTTGTCTTATTGTTTTTTATTATTTCATAAATTTTAAAAACAAAACAATGATAAAACATTTTTAAGTATAAAAATTAGAAAATATATTCAAATATTGATTCTCCTAGTTTTAGCAGCTACAAACGCACGTATCAATTCCTTTATATTTAATTTATTCAAAATTTCGCTCACTATGGATATAATTGACAAGTCAGCTAATCTCCGATTACATGCGCCATGGTTGATCACATATAGTTTTTTATAAATTGAAGTTTTGAAAAACTTCGTTCTCCAGTAGCCACTGAAACTGGCAAGGTTAAAGAAATCTGTAAAGCTATTGCAATATTCGGAAATGTATCGGTAAGATTGTTTTCATAAATATAATTTAAAACATCAGTAGGTGGCATATCCTCTTTGGTAAAACATCGCAAAGATTTTATTTCTTCTAACAAATTTAATCCAATGTCCTTTTCATTAACATTTTTAGTATCCGTTAATTTTTATTCTAATTCTTTACAATGTTTTAAAATTTCATTGTCACTCCAGTTTTTTAAATTAGGTATATAGTGTACTACCTTGAAGTAATTGTAATGTTCTTTTATTGACTGAATCTTTCAGTAATTGAAGAAATAACAGTGTCTAATATTATATTTTAAAATTCAACCTTAAATTTTTGTCTTGGATTGTTGATTGGTTCGCCTTTTTGTTCATCTTGAAATAGTTTCTTTTTAAACTTATTTCGACTTTGTGGAAAATCAGTATCCACCCCCAAATCATCAGCAACTGATTCTTACATGGCCCTTTTTGGGGCTAAAATGGTAAACTAGAACCTGAAATAAGCAATAAGGTATCTGGTTTACTTCACAAAGTATAACTAAATGTAAAATAAAAAGATTGAATAAATTTGCATGCAGTAATCGTAATAAAATTTTTCAGAAATGACAGCTACTTGAGAGGGTCGAGCGAGCCCATGGCTGAGTTGTCTTACCACATCCAAAAATACCAAGAAAGAAAACTATTAAACACACAAAATAAAGAAAAAATAGAAAATACAAAATATCAAAATACACGTGCCCTTAAAGTGATGAAAATATATTTAAGTTGAGAATACAATAATAATTTTGAATGGCGACATTTGATTGCTACATTTAAGAAATGTATGTATATTATCATTGCACAAAAAAAAAGCAAACTAAACAACGACGTTGAGCCCCAACAGCTTCTCAGCACATAAATACATGCCGATACAAAGCATTCCCAATTCCTGTTGTTACATGTTACAAATTCTTAGATTTTTAACACGTTCCGTAGTCATATCGCTTTAAATATGATCGATCTATCTACTTCTGTGCTATTCTACAGTACATCTGGATATTCATAATCTGAATAAATCAGTTCTAACTCTTAGGCTTTTAGATATTCACACCTTCATCCAGGTATTATTAACATTAAACTCAATTTATGAAAGAGAATATCTAAACGAAAGTAGTATTTTTAAATTTAAAAACCGCAATTATTTTCAACTTTCGTATTCACATTAATTGTGTAATACTTCTTTAATATAAATCATACTATTGCCTAAGATTTTATCCATTGTAATTAATTTTCTGGTATTTTTTCACTGTAAAATAAAAAGAACGTTTCTAGTAATCCAAACTTATATGCTTGCTGTTGCTAAGTTTGCATTGGAATTTAGCATTTCCTTGAAACTACGTTATAAATCTATTAGAATTTGCATAATAATAAATCACCGTAAAGATATTCATTAAATTATAGTAAAGTAAAGGGAGTTTTTCGTTCAAACAAGTTAAGAGTTGCTTTGATCTAAAAGAAAAATTATGCTTAGTAATAAAAACCGTTTAAATTTCAAGATCCTTGTTGACCATATTTAAGATGTTAGCATTTATTCGTACTCAAATTCAGTCTATTTTATCTCTCATTTCTTCTAGAGAAAATTAATCTGCAGAATAATTTGTGCCTGAAGAAGTAAGATTTGTCTGTTGTTTTCTAAAATCCATTTAACCTCTTCATTTGAAATTAAAAAAGGAGAATATAAATTGTTTGTAACTCTTTTTTGCACAAATTTTAACTATCACGACTTTAGGAAGGAATTCGAATTATCTTTTACAAAACTTATTTTGAGTTGAAACGATTCAAATAGCCTGCGGCATTTTGAAACTTCCTTTTAAGATCAATGCAGAAATATTTGAAAAAATTAATTAAAATGTCGCTTTTATGATCACATTTCTGAAGTGGTTTTAATTTCAGTAATGTGCTACAAATAAAATTTCTGAACTCTAAAATCTTCAAAATGTGCGTCAACGAGTTGACCTTTGTAATTTTCACCAACGAGACAAACACTTCGTTTTTCCATTAAAAACGATTATCATTAATAATTAATTTTCTTAAGCAATCTTACATACAGGAAGTAAAAGAATTATATATTCCAAAATATTAGACGTCCTCAATGAATTAAGTTTATTCTGCTGTTTTTCCATTGCTAGCTATAAGAAAGAAATGTTTTTAAATTTGAAAATGACGCCTATTTATGTATTCTTACTACTAATACATTACTAATGTATTCTTTGCATAAAACCGTTTAAATATGAATTTCTTGCATTTCATGACATGTGGAACAAAAATTTAAGGTTCGTCTAAGAGCTACAAATTTATAAATATGTTTGTAATGGGTAAATGCGAGATGGAAATGCGCAAAATTTATAATGGGAAGCCATCTATCGTCTTTACGCCATCACAATTTCCACAAAACTCTTCCTATTTTTCCTTTCCTGTGTAATTTCTTACCTGTTTTGATTTTTCAGGAGTTGTTTACGACGCTGTACATCGGGTTCCTGGGCCTCATTTTCTCGTCATTCCTGGTATTCTTGGCAGAGAAAGAAGCGAATCCAGATAATTTCAGCAATTTCGCTGACGCACTTTGGTGGGGAGTAGTAAGTGATCTTTCTCCTTTTACTCCTTCTTTCAAATGGATTTAGTTTGAAAGTCTTAATATCGGTAGCAGTGCCTTCTAATAATGGACTTAGTATGGTTGGTAGGTACTGATCGTTCTATCCTTTGAAGTAAAGTAATTGAACTTTACACCTGAAAACTTCAACTTATTTTTGTTAAGAATTGCTCTCCTTTACCGAGCAGAGGAGTTATTTACACTGAAAAGACTGAAATAGACCATTACATAAATACGAGTTGTTTTGTTGAAATATCGTTGCGTTGCAGTGAATGAGACTACATGCAGCTTGTTATTTTTTCAAAATGCGTTTTTCTTGTTTAAGGTAATGTTGTCGAGGAAAAATGAATATTTCATGGGGCAGATTAGCTAGCAGACTTTTGTGTTTCTCACAGCATACGTAATGAAATGTATATAATTACAAAGAGTAAATATTCGTTTGAAAAGTAAATTTCTCAATTATCTTATTATTCGGATTTAGTAAAACATCTTAATTTCACTTGATGAAAGGCAAATCAATTATGAAAGGCAAAACAATTTGAATTTATGAAAGTATACAAACAAAGCGTGAAATAGATAGACTGAAGCTAATAAACGTTAATTTTATGATATCTTATCTCGTTTATTTGCACTTTGGTAGCTGAGGATGACGTTCGGTAAAACCATCTAAACTAGTCCTTTGAAAATTTGCAAATATAACGCATATTTTTGGCTACTAAATTAATAAATTTTAATTTTATTTACATGTTTGGATATCTTGAAAACAGAGAATGACTAATTTAAAGCGGCTTATATTTACATGACACTTATAAACAGTAACCTATAAATATACCAATAAACAGTAAAGAAAAGCAAATAATGCATAAGAAACAAGCTTCAGCAAATAATGCATAAGGCTTATGAAAAGAATAACAACTTTTAAATGTACAAAACTATTCATAGATTTAAATGCTTTTTAAATAACAAATCGTTGAGTAATGCACGGAAAAAATATTGAATATATTACAATCTTCGGTTTTCAGGTTTACATTTTAAAACCCAGTTTAATTAATACATTTCAACTCTCAGGAGAAAGATTTCAGTACATCAGTGCTGAAATAACATGTAATTTGTTTCAACATAAGAACCAAAGCATCAAAGCTTGAAAGGTCTGGAGCTTTTAAACACTTAAATAATGAAAGATCTTAAGCATTTGGATGCAACAAACTTAAATAAAGAACATCTTAATTCTACCACTATCGCGTACGGTAAATTCATATTTTAAAATCTAATATAGTTAAATGTGAACTACATTTTACAATACATGAGGCACCTTCAGATTACACTTGTGGTTCAGTTTCACGCTTTTAGTCAAGCCTTTTATTTAAGTATGCAATATAAATTTTATCCTACATTTAAAAAATATTCGAATTTGTTGTTTTACCATATATAATATATCCTCTTGTATGAAAAATAACAGTTATTAAAATATTGTACCCTTCTTACCTTCCTCAAAAATATCTCAGAATTGTAAATTCAATAATCTTTCAATTATAATATTTCTCATTTATATACTTCTACCGGTTTTCAGAAATCTTGGACAAAGGGAAGAAAAACATTTTGTCTCGTTTTCCTCTACGACTCTCAATGTGAAAAGCATCTGTGATTTAATGTTTCGCGGAAACTTTCTCTTTACATGTATCCCGACATTCCTTTCCATTGGCTATGGTTTTTAAGAAAGCGGAATATTCAAGATATCCTAATGCTTACCTTCGTTCACCTTATAAAATGATATTCCAAACGGTTAACGGCCGCTAATCAGTAGCAATCTGGATAAAGTGAGCTGCTCGTTCGCACTTTATTTTATCGCCGTCAGTGTGGTAAGTTTAGAGACTTTGAAAGAGTTACTGATCTAATTCAAAATGTTAATGATTAAATATGTGGATAAATGTCTAATGCTTTGAAGAAATTTCGCAGCGCAGAATTCCATTCTCTCAGCATATATGAAAGGAATTTGGGCAATGGAGAGAGGTGTTAGTTTCATAGAGCATCGTGGATGTAGAATTCCTTCTAAGAAACGAAACAGGTAACAAATTCAGAAGTTAAACTAATGGAGAGTAAATTCGAACTATAGTTCAAAGGAATTCATGCCTTTATACTAATAAAGGTTATTCATGCCTTTATACTAATAAAGGTTATTCATGCCTTTATACTATAATATGTTAGGCAGTAATCTTAGTAGAGACATTCAAAACAGAACATTTTTTCGCTTCATGTGAACAGATTGCCAAATTTATAGAGGGTACGTGAATTAATTATTCGCTTTACAAGTGGTGAAAATACAGTTGTTGAAGAAGGTAAAGTTCTCTGATTGATAAATTTAGGAGAATGTTATATTCTTCAGACGTTTTGAACTTCAGTAAACTGAACTAAATTTTAGACTAGCTTGAAATGGACTCACAGCTTTCAATAGCATGATTTATCAAGACAGGAATAACAGTAAAGAAAATTTTACGGTTGTATTTTGCTTCAGTTCCATTTGCTACAAGATATCGTTTAGTTACCAATAAATTGAACAGGCTATGTTGCTTCAAACACTTGGAAAAACTGCAGTATGAAAATGTTAATAACATAAGAAGTTAAACGATTTTAAATACATTTTGAAATTACATCAGAAATTTTTTAAGAAAATACAGAACGATAAAAAAACGACTTTATTCATAAATGTCTTGCTCCTTCATTTTATTTATCTATAGTTAGGGATAAGGAAGTGGGAATTTTACTTACTAATTTCATAAGTGCGTTTTACCTGTTGAATTTTGGAATTATTTGCATACATGATTGGTGTCTTTTATATACTCTTTTTACCATTAAAAAATGCCTTTCCAAATGAATGGATTTGTGAGCGTTGTTGAAAATATGGTAGAAGTGAAACTAAGAAGTGTTTGAGAGATAGTGAAATTCTGAATCATAATGTTGACGAAGGGCTGGAATGAAGACATAAATTAAAATCAGCTTATTTTGATGGGAGGACTGAAGCTCTAGAAAATCCCTGTCACTGCATTCAACTCATTGGTGTGTGTCTTGCTATACATTTGCTTTTGACCGAAGTTTAATAAACTGTTTTAATCCTCCGCCCTAGAGTCCAGCACAGATTCAATCCTACGTCGTCCAGGATGGAACAGGAACACATGCCAACCTAAGTTTGCTTTTTTAGAGATTTTTATGAAGGATTTTAAAAATTAATACCATTCCAACGATTAACGAAATTTTACCAGCATTTTCAAATTTACGATTGGCCTGCAAAATATTTTAATAGCAAACATAATCTTGAACTTCGTTATGAGCAGTACAAGGTACTTAATAAAAAGCAATAAATGAGTCTATTGCATCTGAAATTGTAGAGACGCATATCAAAACCTCAATAAGAATTACAGAAGTTAAAATTCAAAACAAGAAAAATGTTGTTTTTGAAAACTTTCATCTTTAAAATATGCTTTTTTGAATTATTCTGCAATATTTTTTAAATCAATCAGAAAATATTTTGGAATGCTAGTGAAACACAACTACTTTGCGTAGGCACTGTACATGCATCGTTTTTCTTTCTTTCCAAAATATTTAGCATCCTCTTTGGTTTTCACGAGAACTTGTCCCTGATTCTTCGTATGCAAGAGAAAAATTTTTGCTTGAAAAGAAAGGTATTTATTTGCTGTTATCTCAGTTCCCTGGTTTTGATTGAGTTTTGATGTTAGTTCCTTTAGATATATCGCCCCTTCTCCGATTCTGAGTAAATGACGTTTCGAGGTTTTTTTTCTTCTTTTGATTTAAAAATATAAATACGTTTTCGCAAGGTTTTTCTTTCTTTCTGATTTTAAGTTTTTACACTACTTTTTCTCAAATAATGTTTTACAATTCCGTAAATTAGAACCCTCAGTTTGAAAATTTCAGTATTTCCTGGATTGGTAGTATTTTGCTCCAATCTAAGTAGAATCACAATCATTAAGAAGTTTGTTCTCAGAACAATCTTTGTTTTCAAATATTACAAAATTTCATCTCAGTACTCTGGAATTCAAAAGTTTTGCATAAACTAATAAATTTCCAGTTCTCCATATTTAGTTTAGCAATTTTGTTTTTAAGTCCCAAAATTATATTTAATATTTTTCTTGAAAGTTCCTAAATGTATAACTACAAAGAAAATGAATGATAAAATGCTTGTACACTGCGCAAAAAAAAAAGCACAGTTCTATGTCTCCCGTTCTACTGGGCCGATTAACGAAATTCAACTTGCGTTTTTCATGTCTCGAAAGCACGACTTTGGAATTGCATTAGATTTATATATAGCATTGTTTTAATATAGATATTTTGACACTAAATCGGACTTTTTCTAAAATGACATGCCAATTTTTTCCATATTTCGATTCTACGTCTCAAATTTTACCAAACTGCCAAGTTTGGTAAAACTCGTATGGGTACTTCTTTAAAAATTAGCTCTCAAAATTTTAGCTCTTCAATGTTAATTGAATTTGATATATATTTATTAATATCTCTTTTTTTTATTAAACTTACTTAATTCCTTCTCCAGAATTCAAAATTTAGACTTAATCCAAATATAATTCGAACATTTTTTATTATTTATTTCAAAAATGTTTATTTTTAAACATTTTTTATAATTTTTCGAAAACATTTTTGTATTATATAACCTATAAAATTTTTAACATCATCTTAAAGTAGATGTATTTCTGAGCATATGTGCAAAACGTTCAAGTTTTTTATTCAAAATTTCCTAAGGTATACATGAATTTACATTTTGGCGCGTTTTGTAATTTGGCGTATTTTATATAAGCGATAATAACGAAAATATGGTTTACGCACTTTGTTAAAACTATTTGACAGAATGAAAGATGGACCTTTTTTCCTCTCGTGCATCAATGAAAAAAAAAAAGGCTGACTAACTGATTGGTAGGGCCGAGAATGGCTGCTAAATGTGCGGCGTATCCGGCTCAGATG